ACACAGACACACAGACACACACATACACACAGACACACACACACAGATACACAGACACAGACACACAGACACACACATACACACAGACACACACATACACACAGACACACACACACACAGACACACACCCTGCTGAGTCTGGTCAGTGATACATGTATCTCCATCATTTCAGGATTGACCACTTGGTATTGTACAAATAAAGGGCTCCTTCTTGGAAAAAAAGCTGTCTCCTTTGCTCTCAGACTCCCTGAGCTCTCTATAGTTTTGCTGTTTTGTTTTTGGTTTTGTCTATGGGTGGGGCCCCATGATATTTCCTCCTTCCATGCTAATGTGTTTATTGGTGTTGTTCCTGCTCAGGTCTCATTCAGACAGTCATATTGTTGAGGTATTGCTGGGGAAGTTTCCCTATCATTTGTAGGAGACACCCTCATAGCAGACTTACTGGTGTTCTGGGTTTTACAATCTTTCTGCCCCTTTTTTTTTTCCTTTATTTCCCGAGGAGTTGTGTTGTAGATATATCTGTTAGGGTTGGGTACCCATACCAACATACTATTCTGTGTATTTTGACTGTTATGATTATGATTTTCTGTAATTGTCTCTTTCTGCTGCAAACAGAAGCTTCTTTATTGAAGGGTGAGAGCTGCCATAATGATAAGTATTTAGAATACAGTTAGAAATTATGCTGGTTTAGTCAAGTGGCTGTTGTAGGTTCTCTAAAATTCATGATATCCCTAGCCCCAGGTAGTTGTTGACTCTCTTTCCAGTATCATTCGTGTTTTCCTTCCTGTTGAATGGGCACTAGGTCTAAAAGGAGGACCTGTTGGTTACTGCCAAGATGTGAGTGCCACTGTTGCTTCTTCAGGAACAGATTGCCATGCTTGTTGCTGTGGTTCATAACTGGGTAAGACTGTTGGCTGCTTCCCTCTTTTGCCAGCTTATGCAACACCTCCCATGACTATGAAAACTAGTCTTGAGGGAAGAGGCTCCCGGTGAGATCCAGCTTGTAGCTTCTGAGTTCTTTGTCCACAGTGCTGATATCTTCAGCAATAGGATAGCTTTGGCATCTGGGAGACAGCCAAAGAAAACAGTGATACCATAGCTTGTGTTGTTGTAGAGTCTCTTGGACTTGCCTGACCAACAGTTCAAAAGGGAGTTTCTCCCAGTTGGCACTGAGTGTTTTGCTAGGTAATCTACAGGAACCACTGGCTTAACTTCATTTACATTTTGTATGTATATTTATACATATATACTTACACGTAATTTGGAATAAACAAAAAAGCCCAATATTCCTTATTTTCAGTATTATTGAAACACCCTTAGTGTTATTTTTCCCTCCTTCATCCCTCTCCTTCTGAATTAAACTCCTTCTGTCTTCCCTAACTGAAGTCTCCCCTGTTTTATTCTTTTCTTCCCCTTATAACATTTCTATCCTGCTATTCCCTTCTACACTACCCTGTCCCCACAGTCTCATGCTTCTCCTCCCACCCCCATAGTTCCCTTCTAATGTCCTTGTTTCTATGATTACTTCAGGTTATATATTCACATTTGAAGATTTTGTGCTAGGGACCACAGATGAAAGAGAACACATGACATTTGTCTTTCCGGGTCTGGATTATCTCCCTCCACAAAACATCATCTTGTTCCATCTATTTCCTTGCAAATTGATGATTTAATTCGAGCTAAATAGTATTCCACAGTGGATATATTCCACATTTTCATTATCTATATGTCAATGGGGGGGAATCTGTGCTGTTTCCGTTTCCTAGCTATTGTGAACAGAGGAGGAACATTGCTTGCTGCTGAACAAGTCTCAGTGGAGTAGGATGTCAGGTCAGTTGCTAGCACCCATCACCAGATTTTCTTCAGAAAGGCAGAGCTGAGTTCTGAGCCAGGGAGACAGTATTTTTCCAAGGCTGAGATTATACTTTATCAATTTTGCTCACTATGATGTGGCTGGCTCCTATTAGGGATACAACACACGTTTCAGTGTAAAATGCATTTTCTTATTCTACACCATTAAAAAAATAGCCCAAGTTAATATGTAAAATGAGATATACTTAAAATGAAAGAAAATTCTTTTTTTTGTTTGTATGTTTGAAATTAAGGTTTAGGTCGGCATCCCGTGGTATCTTTTTATTACCACAGCAGCGCAGACGCCATGCTTTGGCACTGCAAGAATGAAAGCAAAGTCTCTTGTGACGCCAGTAGTTACTACAGTCACTCAGGACTGTCACTAGCTGGAGACTTGGTCTTTTTCCAAGAAAACCTAAATAGTCCTTTAAGTCTGCCTATACCTACAGTTCCAGGCAGCTACCATTTGTTTGTTTGAACACTTAAAAAGTCCAGGGCAGTTCACTGACATCACTCCTAACCTCCACAACAAAGGAGGCATATTAAAAGACAACTCAATTTATAGTTATGATTACTGAGATTTAAGACACAACTTACCATCTTAGGTCCCATGGAGCCGAGCTTGGACTCTGGACTGGTTGGTTGCAAAGCTTGCTCCTGACTCCCGCTTGCTCTAGGTGCCCTAGGAACCCTAGGAGAATGTGGGAGGAGTGAAACCCTGGTGTTAGTCTTTTTTGATGATGTTCATTACTTCTTTATGGAATCCCTACTGTGTGTTCTGGTGTAGGACAATACCAGATTTCCATGGTTTTCATGTTTGCACTTAATAGCAGGGACAGACGATGACAGAACAAATCATATAGTTGTGTATAACTCTAACTGTTTTAAAGGAGAACAAGGCCAGATAAGGGGATAGAAGAGGGTAGAAAGCTGAGATCTGGTGCATGGGGGACCCTTCTCCTCCTGCTGAGTGGCTTCGCCCAGCCTTGGTGTGATGGTAGGTGCTTGGTCTCATTGCAGCTTCTTATGCCATGTTTGGTTGATGTCCCTGGGATGTCTGCTCATTTCTGAGGGGAGGAAGAGGAGAGTAGATCTGAGGGAGAGGGGAGGTTTCGGAGTCAGGGGAGACTGGAGCAAGGGGAGAAATGGAAAGCTGCAGTTGGGATGTAATATGTAAGAGAAAAAATACAGCCCCCCTCCCCCCAAAAAATAGAAAAAAGAAAAGAAAGTTGAGGTCTGTGTGGGCCATGTTTACGAGAAGTCATCTCTTGCTGGGCTTGGGGAAGAGCCTCTGTTGCTAAAATTCCTTCCCAGGGAGGACATAAACAATATGTGTCCCTTCTCCCAAGGTCACAGTGACAGAACAAGGCAAAATTCCACCAGAGTAGTCAGTTTGGGGAATCAGTGACCTTACTGGTCTTTCCTTACAGAGCACAGTTGATGGTTTACTTACAAGGGTGTGGATTTCTCCAGCCATATGGATAAAGCTCAAGTTCCTGAGCTGTAGTCACTCCAATACCTGTACACTGTAGCCTCACTCCCAAGGCCACATGCAGTAAAGACAGAGTTGCATACAGTAGGTAGTGACAGCAGCTGTATACTCAGGTGAGACCTTCCCCAACCCTCCCTGAGGGAAGAGAAAGAGAGAACGAGTCCAGCCAGAACAATCCTTTTGCAAAGGGGGTTCCTCAAGAAGTTGGCTGCTTGTCTGGGAGAACAGTCACTCATAATAACCTCCTAGGATAAGGGTCAACAAGTACTCAGTTTCTATGGCAGGTGAACGTGCAGAAGGCCAAGTTGGGTATTTAAGAAGCAGAAACAAGCTCGGGGTTGAGTGAAGTCGGGGTAGGGATGGGAGTGGAGGTGGGAGTAGACTTCACAACGTGGGAAGAACCTGTTAGGTCTTCTCATCCTCCTGGACACAAAGCTATATTTCTCATCATTCCTTGTATCCACATATGACTATGTGATTGACTTCTAGCCAATGGTACCCCCCCCATCTCAGTCCTTCATGTTCTTTCTCCAAATGGTTCCACTAGAATCTGTGTGTTTGCAGTGATGGAGCTACAGATGGAAGGAACATAAATCTCTGTGTCATTATTTGGAGGGGAGCTGCCCCTTTGACCAAAGAAACCTGTTTGGACCTCAGCTATGCAAGAAGAACTCTTCAGAACTGCAGATGTGCTTGATACAGCTCCAGGTGTCCCCTTACCAGGATAAGGGGGTCTTTTAAGTGCAATGGGAAGCCATTAATAGATTTTTTTCAGCACAAGCATACAGGCGTCTGATTTAAGTGGTGGCTAACTCAATACTCCTAGTACGGAGTTTGTTAGCTGGCCTGGGGAGAGGCTGGGATGAATAAAGTCAATGAGAATCTCGTTCATCTGTGCGTCTGTGAGCTTCCATTGCGTCCTGAGCAAATGACCCAGAATGCAAGCCTGCTGACACCCAATTGTCTACTTGAATGAACTTTTGACTTTATCTCATGACCTTTCTCCACACAAATGTTCATCCTTTTCTGCTTCCCAAATGTGCATGCAACATGACCAACATGCGTCAAGCCGCTACCACCACACCACATCCTCCCTTCCTTGATAAACTGCACCTCAAATTGTGAGCCAAGATAAACCGGCACTTAAGTTGTTCTTTAGAGGATATTTTGTTTCATCAATAAGAAAGGTAACTCATGTATTTTCCTTGGAGCAGGAGAGGAAGAGAAAAAAGAAGGAGGAGGAGAAGAGGGGGAAGAGAAGGAGGAGGAGGAGAAAGAGGAGGAGGAGTAGAAAGAGGAGGAGGAGGAGAAAGAGAAGGAGGAGGAGAAAGAGAAGGAGGAGGAGAAAGAAGGGGAGGAGGAGAAAGAAGAGGAGGAGGAGAAAGAGGAAGAGAAGGAGGAGAAAGAGGAGAAGGAGGAGGAGTTCGGCTGCTGGCAGGACACACTGTTAGGGTACTGCAGTTCTCCAGGGCTCCTAGATCTCATCGAGAGGTTTCTGGCAGCAGCTAAGTTTCTGGATCACGTATGTGTCTTAGTGGGGAGTAGCCAGAGAGTCTTTTTGTGACTGAGGCTGAGTAGTAAGGAAAATTGCAGCTAAAATTACAAACTTTCCCCTTCAAAGGAGGTGGGAGATAGTTAACTGGACTAAGCCAGAGAGCTATGCAAAGAATGCTGGCTGCACACAGTGCCAGCCCCACAGGACATTTTTGTGGGCCAGTTCTGATAGGAGATCTCAGCCAGTAAGGGACATTTGTTCTCAGCAGCATGTGGTGAGGTAGGTAGGAATCTCTATTCAGCCAGGAACAGTTGGAAGCTTTGACCCAACAGGACTTCAGGAGATACTCCCCTTGTGGTTTTCCTGTTTTCATGAAGAAAATGGGAGAAGTTTTGTCCCACTTTTCAGGAGGCTGAAGTACTGGAGGGTAATATGCTTCATGTATTTTGCCCATTGAATTATTCCCTATGAGATGAGGAAACCCTGATTTGATTGGCTGAATTAGAAGCAGGACCTGAATATGTGCGTTCATCCCTCTTTCTCTCTCCTTCCACGATGGGCTTGTCTGAGGGACACAGGCTTTCTCTCCTTCCACGATGGGCTTGTCTGAGGGACTCAGGCTTTCTCTCCTTCCACGATGGGCTTGTCTGAGGGACTCAGGCTTTCTCAGAACCCCCATGACAGAGCTGCTTATATTGTTTATTGCTGTTCCCAAGCTCAGACCCCCAACTATTCTCTGTACCATGACCTGAAACCTCTGAAACCAGAAGTCCAAATATATCTTTCCTCTTTTAAGTTATGTCACGGATTCTGTTACACAACAAAATGCTACCAACTCTTTCACAACACATTCTATTAGACATCTGTGGGTGTGGGGTGAGGGTTAAGTCTGAGGAACCCACTCAGTCAGGGCAGTTACCCTCTTCTCCAGTTAGGCAATAGCAGAACTAATGTTGACAGCTGATCCCCCATCCGACTTCTGTATTTTTAGTTCTCCCTGTACTAGTGAAGAACTTTGACTTTATCTCATGACCTTTCTCCACACGAATGTTCATCCTTTTCTGCTTCCCGAATGTGCATGCAACATGACCAACATGCGTCAAGCTGCTACCACCACACCACATCCTCCCCTCCTTGGGTTAGTGAAGCAGAAGTGAGACCATTCCCTTAAGTCCTACTGCCAAAAGCAGACAAGAACATAGCAGAATCAGAACTCACAAACCCAGCACACATTAGGACCAAGCCCTCTAGACTGGTGGTTCTCAACCTTCTGAATGCTGGACCCTTTATGCAGCTCCTCATGCTGTGGCTACCCCCAAGCATAAAATTATTTTTGTTGCTCCTTCATAACTCTGAAGTTGGCTACTGTTGGGGATTGTAATGTAAATAGTTTTGGAGATAGAGGGTTGCGAAATGGGTCTCGACCCACAGGCTGAGGACCACTGTTCTAAGAGCGCTGACTATGGAAGCAGTGGAGGATATCTGAACCACAGCTAGAACATTAGCTCCCAAGCACTGAGATCCAAGTGAGACGGGCTCAAAACCCGTCTCCCAAGCAGCCCAAGTCCACTAGATTTGGGTATTCCTTTTGAAACCCCAAAGGAAAACCATTATTATTATTATTATCATTATTATTACTAGTAGTAGCTAGTAGTATTTTATGGTGCTGGGAAATCCAGAACCTAGAGTGTAGTCAGCATACACTCTAAATGACTGCAGCACCACAGGCTCAGGTCTCCCTGAGTGTTCTCCGTATTTCCAAGATCATTTTCTAACAATTGGTTAGAGATTGCTTTTGCTGAAAACAACCAACCAACACCTCTTCCCCCCAACTACTGACTTCCCACTTCTTGGGTTCATAAGGTGAATGTGCACAGACTGAAAGCCGGCTCTCTGCCTTCCACCTGTGCCTGCTCACCTCCCCTTCATAGGTATACGTTAATCACCTAAGGAAGGCCCAACTCCCTAACCTACCTCATCCCCTGCAAGGCTAAAAGTACAAAGACAAGCCACTGTCCTAAACCTGTAGTCCTCTAAGACTCAAGAGCAGTCAAGCTTCACAGGACAGAACCCATCCTCACCCCATCCCCATTCCCAACCCTTATCCCCACCCCGACCCTGCCCCTGCCCCCTGCCCCTACAATACTGCATCTGTAATGAGAGAGGCTGTGTCCTGGAGCAGAGCTGTTGTTAGAAACCAGAGTGATGCTCTCCAGCCATGACGGGGGTAATGCCTTCCTCCTCAGGCCACCTCTTAAAGCCACAACAAAGACGATCAAGCAGACCACATCTTGACCAGGACCGTTCAATTGTGCAGACCCTTCTGCTTCTCAGCCCATTCTTACTCGGCCTAAACCTGAAGCTTGAGTCAGTACCTCAGAAGTGAACTGGATCCCTTAGTTTGGTTCTCTTCCCCACTGTAGTAGTTTGTATATGCTTGGCCCAGGGAGTGGCACTATTAGAGGGTGTGGCCTGTTGGAGTAGATATGTCATTGTGGGTCTGGGCTTTAAGATCCTCATCCTAGCTGCCTGGAAGTCAGTATTCTGCTAGCAGCCTTCAGATGAAGACGTGGAACTCTCAGCTCCTCCTGCACCATGCTTGCCTGGATGCTGCCATGTTCCTATCTTGATGATAATGGATTGAACCTCTGAACCTATAAGTCAGCCCCAATTAACTGCTGTCTGTAGGGATGATATTTAGAAAATGGTATCCTGTCTGGCTTGTTCCCTGGCAGCCACCATATTTACGCTGCTCCTTGGCTCTGACTGGGGCTCCAGCTAGCTAGATGTGCAGGTCCTGGCACCTACGAGGTGCCAGCATGGGAGATAGCTCTGCCAACCCACCCTGCTGCATCCACAAAGCTTGGCTGAACCCCAGACAATATCTGCCATCCTCGCAGTACTTAGTAGAAATGAGACTCTTAAAGCTTAATGATTA